TCAGAATTGTGGGTATTCACACTTCTTCGGAAACATGGCGAACGTGGTTGATGCTGCTCAGTTGACTGATGTAGATGCTGCTCAGTTGGCAGAAGGAAGAGCTGTCCAGTCGGTGAATGAAGAAGGGCAACAGTTGGCAGGAGCAGGAGATCTAGGAGCTGCTCACTTGGCATCCATCAAAAAGCTAACTGGCTGGAATGCTTTTTTCCGCTCAGTTGCGCTGAGTAATTATGAAACCACACCAGTCATACATAATGATTGATTAAATATGTAACAGTGGTGGTTAACCTTCGCTAACTGACCATGCTAATAATTCTCTTAAAGTATTAAAAAAAAGACTGTGGTCGCTCGAACGCGTCAAGCATATCAGGTTGTTAAACTTTTTTTCAAGAAACAGTAAAACGTCATTGATTTGAGGTTTTGAACGAACCAAAACAGCACATCCCCCATAAATTGTTCATTGTTATTTACGTTTTGTGACTCGCCTCTTATCGAGGTGTGATGCCACCCCTATTCAAACTCCAAACCCAACTCACACTTACACACTCGTGTGAAAGTCTGTCTATTGTTGTTTAGGGTGTTTGTGACAAGCAGTCTTTCGTTTGTTTACATCTACAGCCAGCTGTCATGGCAGAGCTGGGAAATGGAGCAGGAATTGGCCAGGTGTCCACTGTGGTCAGCAACATGTGGAGAAAGCTACCTGCTGACAGGCGAAAGGTTTGTGTAAAAACTATTTATTATATTTCAGTCCATACCATATGGTATGGATAAAATATATTGTGTTCTCTCGTGTTTCTTCTTCTCCTTCTCCTCCTTCTCCTGCCATTCCTAAAAACGGATTCAACTCTTGTCATTTTTAGCCAAATTACTTGAAATTTAGCATGGAGGTAGAGTGGGCCAATACCACCAGTTTTTCTTCTCATTTTTTGGATACATGCCTTTGAAAAGTTTTTATGAATAATTTTTGGGCCATTTTTCGACAAAAATGGTTTTTGGATCCTTGAACGTGTGTCTACAGAATAGCAGTCACATATTTGGCATAATCACTTCAAAATGACTCATTTAGGCGACTTTAAAAACAACAACATTTGAGGTATATGCAGTGAGGATTTTATCACATTTGAACAAGGGAGTCCCCGTGAAACTGTTTATTATTGCTTAACAAAATGTTTACCGTCGAGACTGGCTCCACGGAAGCCGTGCGTGGAACTCCGGTAACCTGATACCCTTCCGTAGAATTGGAAACTTTACCCTAGAAATTGACCGCCGTGCATATTTATGTTATATGCTTATGTAAAATTGATTTCTATACTGTACTCTCCTAGGACTGGGAAGCAAAGGCCTAGCGTGAAAGAGCTACATTTTCCTACTGAGTACCCGCAAATCTCCTTGTTAAGCTGTGTGAGTAAAGTGTTGGAAGGTCTTCTGCGGGATGCATTACTTCAGGACACTGTTAAGAGCCTGGGCGCATCTCAACATGGTTTTATTGGAAACCGATCGACACTGATTCATCTTGTACAGCAGTGGCATGAGGCAGTTAACTCCAAACCTAAGCTGGACGTGCGCGCAGTATTTGTGGATTTCAGTCGTGCTTTCGACACCATTAATCATTACCAACTTTTGGAAACCCCGGGGGACATGGTTATTAGAAGGTCCCTATGGAATACAATCAGCAGCCACTTGGGAAACGCGTGTTTGCCACTGTCTGTAGTGCCTGTTAAATACACTGAGGACCTCACCAGCACAGAGGTATTGATGGGTACCCTCCCTGGGCAGACTCAAATGGCTCTGGACTCTGTTGTAGAATGGGGTGATCAGTTTTCTCTCTCCGCGAATGCAAAGAAAACAAAAGACATGGTCATCAGTGCCAGGAAAGCGGATCATGCTCCTAACTCTCCCCATCCGACAATAGCAGGACATGAGATTGGACGTGTCGTGTCTTTCAAACTTCTCGGAGTCTACATCTCATCTCAAATGACTTGAAACAGTCACGTCCATTACATGCTGATGAAAGTACGCCTAAAAATGTACTATTTGACTTTAGCCAAGAAGGCTGGTCTGCCGACTGATACTTTGACTCATATTTATTTATTCTTTATTCGTCCTGTGTTAGAATACGCAAGTCAGGTCTGGGAAGGCCTGCCTAGGCGTCTTTCTGATATGCTTGATGGTGTACAGAAGCGATGTTCTGTATCTGTATCTGTATCTGTATCTGTATAGCCGGTATAACCGCCTTTCGGCGTAACACACCAGCTTGTTGTAGGATTATTGGAATTCCTGTTAAGTCTCTTCCGTCTCTGTCCTTGAGACGTGACATGGCCACTGTACGCACCATAAACTAACTGAAATAGTTGATTTGAATTGATTTGATTTATTATACTGTGTAAACGATAAATACAGCCAGGAATGCTGGAGACTATAATAAAGGGCTAGCCCTCACAACAAGAAAATAAACAAGTGTCCATAGGCGACAATTCTCCGTAAAGTTTTATATTTTGCAGATTGAGAACAGTAATAGTGTATGTAAACAGCGTGTGATCACTTAACAACTGGTAACAAAATGTCGTAAAAACTGCTAAATCCCTGGTCTAATAATCTAGCCTGACTAAAAATAAATCGCGCCCCTGGTGGCCACCTGCCAAGAAGTTTGCCGCCCCCATTTTGGGAAACAGTTGCAGACTGACTAGTGTAAACACATGTAATCAACTACACGACAATCTAAATAGATGAACAAAGTCAGCTTTCATAACAATACCTTCCATTTACTACATATTATTCATTTGACAAGGTATCGCAGTAGGTGCACACCACGATCGCAAAAGATACTCTAAACCATTATGCACAACATCCACCTAAAATCTGCTCAGAGAACCTCGGCTACCAGACAACTACCTAAACCTACGGCCTATTCCACCGGATTGTAAAAGTAGGGATGTTTCTAAAATATGCATTTACTTCAATATCAAAACTGTTACGGTGAAAGTAAAATGATGTGCACCATCACAGACATAATGGCACACCACTTGCCCAATTATACAGTAATAGTGCGTACAAAACAATGCGATTTTAGTGCGAACATCATCCAAAAAGTGCCTTATAACTTCTACATGGGACAAAACATCTGGTACTATCCTCCCAACATCTGCCTGAAGAACTCCCCCCCCCGCTATTCAAAACAACGGGTTTTTCTGGACCATTCCAATTCGCCTCATAAATGCAGAGGTGCATCTGAAACACTGCATTAACCGCGAAAACGGCAACGGTAAAAATAAAGACACGTGCATCAACACGGGTTTGCCTGCAGGCGACGTATAAAGTTGCACGTCGATTAAACGAAGGGAACCCAGTGTTTTGACTGCGAACACAAAAAAACCGTCTGCCCATAATAGTTCGCCAGGAGGTATTCCTCTTTCACGGAGTAACAATTAGTAACAGGTAACAGTTAATAGTGTCGGTTACACTTCAGATAAACACACTATTACATATAACAGATGTTGCGGCATAAGGTTAAAGAGCAATGCAATCTGGCCTAGTCGTCATGAGTTTACTGTAAATACATGTCAGGTTAAGGTACTATGACATAATAGATGTTGCGATCTAACGTTAAGAAGCTATAAAATCTGGCCTAGTCGGCATGTGTTTACTATGATTACAATGTGTACTATAGTTACATTATCAATACAATTGAACTTGTACAGTTTTACAAGTAGCTGTCGTCGAACATTTATCGAATTATTTGTCCAGAATTTGTTTTTAAAGGAGCTGACGGAGCGGGCTGTGTGGGTATCGCCAGGAAGAGCAGTCCAGATGGTGATTGCTCTGTTCAGAAAAGTTCTCTGGGATGTAGTAGTCCTACAAACGGGGATGGTTAACTGTTCCTAAAGGGATACCGGGATTCCTTGGCGGACGCTCGCGCTCGAGGCTAGCAGACTTTGCAGGTGTGGAGGACAGCGACCGTTCAACAGTTTGTACATGGTTACTGCAGTGTGAACCTTGCGTCGAAACTGGAGGGATGGTAGAGACAGTTCTGTGTAGAGACTATTGTAGGAAGGGTACGGGATCCCAAAGTGACCACTGATAAGCCTGGCTGTTTTGATAAGCCTGGCTGTTTGGTACTGCACAGATTCTAAAGTCCTTTGGTCACGCAAGCCCAGACAATATCCGCGTACTCTAACGTAGGTCTTGTGATGGTTATGTATAGCCGGAGCAGTAAGTTCTTGGAAATCTCCTTCTTAGGGCATCTAACAGTCCTGAAGAACGCCTTGCTTTTGTAGAGTTGACCTCGATGTGTTGTTACCAGGACAGGGTATTAGTGAGAGTGACGCCTAAGTGTCTGAGGCTGCTGACAACTTGCAGTACAGTTTCTTCCAAAGTCACAGGGGAATCGATTTTGGCAGAGAACGAGTTGTAATGAACATGACTTTGCACTTGTCTATAATAGCTAGTAGTTTTCATGTAGAAAGCCAGGTCGACACAGTACCTGACGCTCGGTTAAGTGATACAACTACGCGATAAACAGAATAATGGGAGAAGGACAGAGATGTGTCGTCGGCAAATAAGTTGGCCAGACATTGTGTACGGCTGGTGGCAACGTCATTGATTTAAATAATGAAAAGCGTTGGTCTTAGTACGGAACCTTGCAGTACTCCGGCTAATGGGGACTATTTTTTGTCCTTTCCCACAAAAATAATGAAATTTGTTTTGTTTATTTTGAAGTACAATTTATTTATCTGAAACCAGTTATTTACATTATATACTTAGCAGTTTATTTTTCTCACTAATACATCAAGGCTTGGGTAAGACCTAAATAGATTTGTGTCATCCGCAAATAGCAGTGATGTTCTGATACATACATATATATTTTTTTTTCCAAAATACCAGCGGTCCCACAATGGATCCACCAGGACCACCACAAGACATTAACGTTTTATGCGAGGAGAAGTCCTTACTGGAGACAAGGAGATATCCTTAATTTAATCATTGCTTTTGCACCCATCAAACTATAGATCATTGGTATTGGATGCAAACTGCACCTCATGATACGTCCCATTACGTAACGGGACGCATTGATCATTGTTCTCACCTCTGTACCATTTGTCAAGGTTAGTATACATCTTTCTTGTATCAGGGCATATCCGGATGAGCTTCCGACATAGATTACACCACACCCCGTTATCCAAAGGGATGCTTTTTGGGGGGTTAGTCTTCCATTTGAAGTACTGATTGTACATCTCTGAGTCTGTATCGAGTAGCTTCAGGTAGTCAGCTAAGGCTTTTGGTGACTCAAAGTCATCCACATGAATAAATGAGTTCGGAGGAGTCAAGTATTCATAATCTTTCTTAGGTGCCCCTAACACAACTGGAACAACGTTATTAGTTAAAGCATGTCTCCAGAACTTTTCAGTTATGTATTCTTTACACTTCATATTTTCAAACGCGAGATAGAACTTGTATTGCCGAATGTATTGTACTGTGCACGCGAAGTCCTGCTTCTCACAAACAATTCTTCCACATTTGCCAAAGATGTCAACATGTATATGCTTGATTAATTCATTTGCATACAAAATACGTTGAGCTCTTGATGAACATTTACTGATAAACCAGACAACAAGCTTAGTTTTTCCTACTGAATAGTCTGTGTTAGGATCAAGATCAGCTCCTTTAAGTCTGCTGTAAACCATGTGTAGAGATCCCCAGGCTCCTGACACATCAGAGTCAGTCCTGTACGTAATGGTCCAGTTGAAAACACCACTATATGAGTTCAGGTCAATTGTCAGGTAGTTCGGGCATTCAGAAATAAACCAGATCCATTGTTGATGTGGCGAACGTGTCAGTGGCATTTCTGACTTGATGTACGTACCTGGTAGTTGACTGTTTTCGAAGACCACAGCATCAGCATTTTTAAGATTTTCTGCGCTTGTTGTAAAAATACACTGTGGTAACGTTGGACACAGTTTGCCTTCTTTTCCTGGCATGAAAACGTTTAAGTGTTTTTTCCATAACTTTGTCCAAAAAATAATTTTCCTTATTATACCCTCCCTTTTTTGTACATCTTTTACTGAGTCTTTCCAAACTGAATAAAACTTTGCACTGGAATCAACTGACGGATCAGCCGCTATATTAGGAACACATCCTGTGGTGTCTGGTAGTAAAGGTCCCGCGTCATTCCGGATTTGAGTTGAGTGATCTGAAAGTACTCCATCAAGACCGCCATGTCGTGTAGTGTACCACCAGAGAAACACAACAGACCAAATCAAGATCAATACAATCTTATATGTATAACGTCTAAAAAGCATGTTGAAATGTTGCCTGAAGGTCTCGAGAGGTACCTGTGCTTGTAGAGTTATTATTTCTTTACGTAGACTTGCTAGTGCTTTTTGTAGAATTGCCAGTGCTTTCTGTAGACAAACCAGTGCTTTTTGTAGACCTGCCAGTGCTTTCTGTAGACTTGCCAGTGCTTTCTGTAGACTTGCCAATGCTTTCTGTAGACGTACCACTGCTTTTTGTAGACGTACCGCTGCTTACTGTAGACGTTGACTTTCTTGTTTCAATAAAGGGACAACAAAGATTCGTTTAGTGCATTTCACATTTTTAACATTGTGAAAAGGTATGGGCAACATACGTTTTAGTAGACCTTAATATTCTAATACACGTTTTGTTAAACTTGTGTCGTATACCATTCAGTTCTGCGAGAATAACTCATCTTCGTAGTTTTTGGCAATAAAATCCCACGAATGACGTCTTATGAGGTTATTTACGTCCTCATGATATCAACACTATTCTGATTAATTATATCTAGTACACAATGTTTTGAAAATTTGGTGGTCGTACGATAAACAGTTTACTAGTTGTGATGGGGGGAGCGTATTAGCAACACCCCCCCCCCCAGTCCAAAAACAAGTTCAGTCTAGATAGGGTTTATCACTAATTACGGACAATTTCAGACATATTTATACATACAGAAAAAAATAAGGCTGCTCAAGGTAGCGTAAATATTTCGATTTAAGCATCCTTGATGGTCGTTTTAACCCTACCTAGACCGGGGGGGGGCTAAAAGTGCCCGCGGCAACTTTGATGTCACCTAGCGTCTGAACGGCTAGCCGTAGAACGGCCAAACTTGGTGACTTTTCCTAAAATATTGTTGGCAACAATTCTCTATCATTGGAAGAACATAAAAAAATTTTTTGTGTTGCCATGGCAACGGGTTTCTGACAGGCATTTTTTGCTAAATTTAGTAATTTTTGTTTCAACAATAGAATTTTATGGGTTTTATGTCAAGTTACTCATGGTTTCTAATATTAATAACATCCCATGTAATTTTATGTAAATTTTATCATTAAATATGCATAATTTATGCTAATTTGATGACGTCATTGGCCAAAATCCAAGATGGCGGACCATATCATTAGAACAGGTATATACAGGTTATTTTCCTTAAAATTTCATTAATACTTTCATTTCTTTTTCCAAAAAGGTTTAAATGAAGGTCTTTTGTATGTTTACAATGTATTTTAGGCTTTATCATGAAAAAAAACTATTTTTGAAAATTCAAGATTGATGATCCAAGATGGCGGATATCTTAAATATGCATGACGTCATTTTATGACGTCACCGGTGTTGCTATGGGCAACATAAGACTTAGTACACCATAATATTCTGTCATAAACACTTTTGGTACAGTTATGTTGAATACCATTTAGTTTTCAGGGAAAAACCTATTTAGACTGTTTTGGCCAATAAAATCACATTAATGACGTAATAATGACGTCATATTACGTCATAACGACATAAGAATTGTAGATATGATAAAATTTCACTAGTACACCATTCTCTGAAAATTTGGTGGTCATACGACATACCGTTCGCGAGTTCTTAGGGGGGGGTCAAAGAGCCCCCCCCCGGTCCCCCCGACCTCGTCCAAAAAACGACCCGGTCTAGGTAGGGTTAATGATACGTACGCAATGCAAATATCACACAATATACCTAAAAGAAATGGTGATACCCTCGAAGTACAGACATCACAAAATAAACAGTGTCAACGGATATTACTGACACATTAAGGCGCACATCAGCAGCACACAGTGTCAACGGATATTACTGACACATTAAGGCGCACATAAGCAGCACACATTTAAGATTCTTTTTTTGACAGTGTATAAAGTGCGTGTCACTACGTGCCGGTACCTTTACAAACGTAAAGACAGAGAAAAACGTAACGTAAGGTACATGTGAACGTAAAGGTTACATGAATTCAGTGTTTCAAGCACACGTAGATATTTCTTAATTTAACCTATAGTGTTCTAACAAAACCTTTGGGTGATCTTGAAGAGTGGATTTTCTTTAATAATTTGTTGAACTTATTAATATTAATTGTTTTGCACTAGAAAAATGCATACAAAGAAGTAAAGTAGTAAGTACAAAAGTTAAAAGAATAAATCCAAGTAAGAAGTGAAAAATTTAAGAAGGAGAACTTAGCAAGATAGCAAGTCGTACTAATTAAAAGTTAACTAAAGAAATTGTCTTTATCTTAACAATGGTAAAAAAATAAATTAAATATGGATAAAAAGTAATTATTTCCGGAGGTGAAAACGTGAATCCAATGGGATATAGCAATGGTAAATAGAGGCATTGATAATTAGTATCAAGAAACAAACTAAAATAATCATTTACCTTTTTAAGCTTAACCATATATCTAGTTAAGTGGTTTTATTTGCTGTAGTTTTTCACCTGTTTTAAATCTAAAAAAAGGATTTTACAAACATTGAGAAGATTACCTTTTACATCTGTATATATATACCAACCTCTGGTATTGCACTGTCAATGTCCGTCGATGCTCCCTTGATGACCCGGTTGGAAAACGTTGCCTAGCCTTTTAACAGCCTGACGAGATGTGACCGGATTTTGGTATGGGTGTCCTACGTTATAATTAGAGGGGATTTGAAAATATGCAATCTTTGCCCTGGACTGCACTATGTGGTTTAAGGGGTGTTTCAGCCAGATGCGCATTGCATCAATACATTTTATCAAGCGATAGATGTGGAAAATGGACATGCAGTACGATATTACACGAATAAAAAAGCTATACAAAATATTACCATTGAAAAAACAGATAAAAACAGATAAAAATATAAAAGAAACAAAATCAATCAATAAGCACATCAAGCTATGTGATGAGAAATTTTTAAAAACGCAGTATAGAAGGATGCGATTTGAGTGTTAACAAGACCTAAGGAAGTGTGGAGTTATTTATTAAATCGGCTTTGGCGTGAGTTTTACAATTGTTTAAAGTTGGACAAAGCTTTAATGTTTTGTTCAAGTTATTCCAGACTGTAGGTCCCCTGTACATGAATGAGATAGAATTGTGAATAGCTCTTAATGCTATTCTGACGTACCGTTTTTGAAGGAGAAAGAGAGATGTGATTAATGTAGAATACGTAGACGCCCATGCAATGTTGCAATAGGTAAGGTAGGAATAAACAAGGCTGTAATATGGATTACGAAACGTTTTGTGACAAAAATGTTACTTACTCTCCGTATTATCCCAACATTCTTATAGTTTTTTGCATGTAAAATCGATACGATTCTTTCAGGTTAATTTTTTACCTATCAGGACACCTAAAAACGAGTATGGGTCACTTGCGTAATAATATTGTTTTTCAGTAATATATTGACGTTTTCTTTCGGATATTTCTTATTCTTTGCTGTAAAAATATGTTTTTAACATTTAAATACAATTTATTTGTTGTGAACCACATAACTCGTTGGTATCTAAATGTTCATTTTTTTTAATCAAGTAAACAAAAAGGGCATATAACTAGAAAGGCCAATATTTGCTTTGGAGCAAATACAGCGATGGGTTCACCACATTTTACGACATGGCAGGGAAAGAATGAGAAACACAAGGGAAAACAATGATTTACATTAATATAACTATAATATGAAGTAACATACAACTAAAACAACAGTTGGATAGCTATTCCCTACTTTATTGGTTAGGATTTTTAATTGCATAATGCAAACTGTTAATTTTCAAAAAAAAAAAACGTTCATGCCCCGCATTCCAATGCTGGAGCAGAAAAGCTTGAAATACCTACCAAAACACTTGAATAAAGACATACTGTCAGTATGAAAATGCTCTGTGCAGGTGCTATTAACAATCACATAAACTATGAAGCCATACATTGAATAAACTATACATATAATATGATTATCATAACCTTTATTTTTAAAATCATGCCAGTGAGCTAATTGCATGTACAGAGTGAAAGAAAGTAAAGTAAAGCAGTAAAATTTCTGTACTAGCTATGATAGTACTTCATTATGATTCGTCCTCATCGTCATCATTCAATGTGGTCTATCTCTTGCTACTAGTGACTGGTAATACCTCTGTAGATTCTTCACACTGGCAGAGTACCGTACTCCTTCTCTCTTGTCAGCTCAATACTTTTGTGACAACATCAAAGTGATTTTAGTTTGTATGTTGGAAAAATACAAAACACTAACATTCTAAGTTATTGACATTCTTGAGTAAGAACAATCAGTTTTTAAATGTTAAAAGCAAAACAACGAAAATAAAAAAAAAATGTTGAAATTGTTAAAATGCAGAATTGTTAAAATTGTTAAAACTGATAAAATTGTTAAAAATGATAAAATTGTTAAAAATGTTAAATTGCTAAAAATATTAATGTCCGATGCACTGGGGTTCGAACTTGCAATACCTGGGATTGCCGCCTTGCGCGTTTCCAACCGAGCTAACTCGGTGCGATACACATCACTCACTGCATTGTATGTCATAAAAAGTAAACAGCATGGCGGTATCGATCGCTTCAAGGCACCAAGACTTTCAACTATTAACTACGGGGTTTCCTTCTTTATCAGGTTTGCTTTTGAACCACCTTGATGTTACTTAACTATCAACCCGGCTAGCAGAAGCCGCCGGCTCCTTTAATATTACAGCCGCTCCCTGTCCAATCTTCGAAAACTGTCGGGCATGCAAGCCCTCGACGCTCGCCAGGAAGCCGTCTCGCGATGTTCTCAGCAACAACAATTTACACTCTACAATTTTGGTGATTCTTCGGAGATCGATAACAGAACCTAGATAATACTAGTTGGTAAAGATTGCGGAAAATTGTTGATACCGTGGCGCGCGCGCCGACGATACACATTACGTACCGCGTAACTTTTTTGTTTACACGCCGGGCGCAGGTCATTGACCTCCAACTTGCGTTGTTCCAACAGAGAAGAGCAAAATGTCTGGCTCCCGCAGAACGTACCGCACTCTCCCGCTGGACGTACCGCACTCTCCCGCAGAACGTATCGCACTCTCCCGGAGGACGTCCCGCACTCTCCCGAGGAAGTCCCGCACAGCGTCCTGCACTCTCCCGCAGAACGTCCCTCGAAAATCGATGCGTATTTCGTGGCCTGTGCTGTACAAGTACCAAAACACTTGAGTTCATACTGTCAAAATGGAATGGCTTTGAACAGGTGTTAATTGAGTTAATCCAATCAAATCCAACAGCCAATCAGCAAGAATAATAGATTGGTCTGCGTCAGGTTCATGCTTGCATGCCCATATATGGGCATACCGCCGAATTCCTTTCTTATTACGTCACGCGCGTACGCCCCCACAGTACTTTCCTATGGGGACCGCTAAAAAAGCAAATAAAACGATTGTAAAAGCTTGTATCACAAAAATTTAAAAAACGCCTAGGGGTATTTGCCCACTGTACCTCTATACCAAATTTCAGGACCTTGGGCCCTAAAATGAAGAAGCTGAATCCATTTAAAAAATGGCAGGAGAAGAAGGAAAAGGAGGAGAAGAAGAAACATCAGAAGAAACATCAGAAAAAGCAATATGGGTTCACCACCACTTCGTGGTGACATATTTATAT